AAGGAAAGAAAGGAAAAGGAAAGGAAAGAAAGGGAAAGGAAAGGAAAGAAAGGGAAAGGAAAGGAAAGAAAGGAAAAGAAAGGAAAAGAAAGGAAAGGAAAGGAAAAGAAAAGGAAAGAAAAGAAAGAAACGAAAAAAAGAAAGAAAAGAAAGAAAAGGAAAGAAAAGAAAGAAAAGAAAGAAAAGGAAAAAAGAAAGCAAACTGAGTAAACTATGAGGAGCAAGCCAGTTAAGTTACAATCCCCCATAGCCTATGCATCAGCTCCTGCCTCCAGGTTCCTTCTGTGTTTTAGTTCCTGTACTAACTTCTTCCAATAGCAGGAAGTCTCAGCCAAATACATCCTTTCCTCCTGAACTTGCTTGGTTCATGGTGTTTTATTGCAACAGCAGAAATCATAAGATAAACATTAGGTTCCTTTTTGCAATACATATGCTGTGCTAATGTAATACTCAGAGAAACTGTGTAGGAATGAGTTGTGACAGTTTGTAGGGCCTGATCATATTTATAACTTTCCTATGAAGCTGAAAATGCTCCAAAAGTAGGATCCTCACTCAATTATTGTTTTGAAGTAGATTTTATGTTCCTGAACATATATATATATATATATTTGGCAAATTATTTTTCTTGAATTTTCTCATCAGAAACACTTTTATTACTACAGAGAAAAAAGGCATCTGCTACTAGCAATTTAACTTGTTCAAGTTTATCTTGGGTAAATAAAATGCAATGTATTAAAATATCCATGGATGCTGAAAATTCATTTAAATAGTTTTGCTTAAGTCCTTAAAAAGTAATTTTAAACTCTCTTATGGTTGCCTGTACAGAAACATGGAAGAAAATATTTGCCAGTTATTTATATATCTGATAGAGGATTAGTATTTCAAGTACAAAAGGAGATAGAAAAAGTGCCCACCTAAGGATAAATAATGTAATAAATGAATCAGAAACTAAATTGAATAGACACTCAACAAAGATGTATTCATGGCAATAAAAATCCTATACTTTATGTCATTGAAAATGCAGATAGTTATTAAATTTTGAGTTTATTTCACCCTAGACAGGGTATCATCATGTACATAAAAAAATGTGTCAAAAAGTGTATATACATATATATATTCATGCTTGCTGGTCATAATGCAAATCAGTCTAGTCACTATGAAAATCAGTATAGCATTTTCTAAAAATATTTCTGTAGAGACATGATATTATTTAGGTATACCAAATGTGGGCATATGCACAAATTAATAAAATTAAGCTTATACTAATGATATCGTCTTAATCATTTTTTCGTGGAACCTCCCACATTACCACAAGAAACAGCTTATGTTTCCATAAAAAATGAAAAAAAAAGTGAAAAATATTCTATGTGAACTTTTAAGGAAAGATTCATACTATTTTTCTAAAGAAGCACAGCATTTTAAATTTATACTTAGAATCATGTGAATAAATCTTAAAAACAGTATGTTAAGTGAATGAGTGCAATGATGAAAAAAGCACATATTGTACGACTCTTCTTATGTAAAATGTCTAAAGTATGTAAATCTATAAAAGGGAGACAAGAATACTGCTTGTCTAGGAATAATGTAGGGAAAAGAATTGCTGCTAATGATTACAGTTTTTTTTTTAAGATGTGGTTGAATAGCTTAAAATTGATATTGGTATGAATGTGTATCAACTTTACATTCAATAAAAACACTCAGATGTATACTTTTAATATTTTAATATAGTATGACATTTAAGTAAATAAAGCTATTAAAAATAAAAACTTATATTTTACATATTTATAAATGTATTATATTGTTTTATTTGTTCATGAAGAGGAAGAATGAGCAATCTACAAGAAATTGTATGTAACTGGATATCAACATGTGAACCAAAATAAAGCAGACTCAAAATTTTTGTAGAATTCGGAAAACATCAAAGAAATTGAAAAAGAAACAAAGGTAGAAGCAGCAGACTATCGGAGATCCATGGAGAGTACAAGAGACTGAAGTAATATGATGAAGATATATTATACTTATTTATGAAAACATCAAAATGAAACTTGTTATTTGTACAATTAATATTTGCTGCTGCTGCTAAAATGAATTCATAATCACAAAAAGTAAGTAGTTCAGGAAATAATTTGAGAACATAATTTAGAAAGGTACTATATCAAATTCCCTGCAAGATTTCAGAAGCTTATATAGATAAGATCAATAGCTAATTAGAATATGTAATAGAAAATATAACTACTAATACATCAACAATATTCAACATACTTTCAATAGAAACTAGACATAAAAGTACAGATTTGTGAGATATTTATAAGAACTTACTAATAGTAAAATGATTTGCCAATGGAAATACATCATTTATCTTTTATAGAAGAAATAGTTATAAAAATATCACTTACCATAAATTCTTACTTTTTATTTTTTTTGTATGAGTTATTTACCTGCATGTATGTCTATATATGGCAAGTATGCAATACCTCCCAAAGACAGAGATGGCATCAGATCTCCTGGGACTGGAAATACAAATGATTGTGAACAGACATGTGGGTCCTGGGGAAATCAAACATAGGTCATCTGGGAGAGCAGCTAGTGCTTTTAACCATTTATTTCTCCAGCTCCAATTACCTGAAATTAATTTCATTATTATTTCCTTACATATTGCTGTGAAAACTTAGTCTTGGATTCCCGTGACTAAAATATACCTGAAATAATGAGAAGAAAAAAAATAGTATTGACAATAAGAGCAAGGCTTCTATATCTTAATAGAAGTAGTACCTGTGTTTAAATGCATCCTGAAATGGACACAGGTCTGGAAAGACAACAGAAGTAGTTTTAATTTTTTCTCTAGTGTGCAATATAGAGTACAGTGCATTTTAAAGAAAAATCTGAAACCAGTAGAAATTCACAGCTAAAAATTTTGTACATATTCTTATGTCAGTTGTCAGAGGATTTAGACCTGGCTATTAAACTAAAGAGCTCCCTCATTTTGTCCTTAGGGTGTTTCAGTCTCCTATGCTACCTCCACTGTGACTCAAAGTTGAATAGAATTGACTAGCAGATAAAACATACTCAGACTTCTTGAAACAGTCGCACGAATCAAAATGTTTAGTCTGAATGTCCAGGCCTAAAATAATTATAGAAAAAGCTTAATTATCTTCAAATAATCAAGATAAGAATCAACTTAATTCTAGCAATGTGGCCCGGGCCTGGAACTCCAACACTCAATAAACAGGCCATTGGATTGTTAATTCTAGGCCACTGTAGGCTACATAAGGATTCCTGGGCAGCCTGAGATACAAAAGATTTAATCTTTAATCATGAAAAAATGAGAGATACCAGATATGATGGCACATAGGAACACTGAGGTAGATAACTCATAAACGTTCCTTTCAAGATCAAGGTACCTAGTTAGTTCTCGGGAAATCTGAGATACAGAAAGACAATGATCAAAGATAAAAGGGTAGAAGAAAAGAAAGTGTAGCTGTGAGGATTGAGAGAAGGGGTGGGGGAAGAAGAGAAGTAGAAACTCAGAAAAGCAAGGAGGTGGATGGAGAACTGAGAGAGTATAGAATAAATAGCTCTCTAGGGGATCATAGAATATAGGACTAGGAGAGAAGGTGATGGATTATAGTGAATATTCAGGGTCCAACAACAAAGACCTTGTAGGGCACTTTAATGCTTTATGGTGAAGTCGTGAACGGGGATTCTAGGCTACAAATAGCTCTGTTATACCTTTTTCTCAGAATTCTGGTGGAAATGAGATGTTTGGCTGGACACCTATTAGCTCACATCAAAATATTCCTGCCTTAGGCAAAATCAACATAAAGAACAGACATGAGTTATCTAGGGACTTCATTTTCCCGGAACGAAAGAGGACAGAGAAACAAGGTGTGGATGGGGAGGGGGATTCAGAAGTGATGGACTCTAACTTCCGGTTAACGGTCCAGTCGAAGGACTCCTTGGTTGGCTCCGAAGCGCTGGCTCCTCCTGTTAGGTAAGAAAGTATCTCCATGTGTTTTCTGGGGGGAGTCCTAGGGCTTTCAGACTAGTTGTCAAAACTGTGACAACCAAAAACCTATTGTAAATCCCCTAAACCAGAGCCTACTCTCCCCCACAAAAAGGAAGCCAGTCACACAGGCCTGTTTCTGCTCTGGTTTCTAGAGTTCCGGACATGGCGGTTAGGCCGAGATATGCCGCACTGTCACTTTCCTCGCATTTATTAGTGAATGAAAGAAATTTTGGGGGCAGGAGGACTAACAGACAAAAGAAGAAATCTAGGTGCTATGGATTTATAAGGAGGGAGACCAGTCATGAAAATTGAAAGATTGGGAAGATTGTCTGGTGCTGTATGGGGACCAGCTACACAGAATTGTTCCCTGTACAGTGGCCTAGGTGGATCGGGAGGGCCTGATGACCAAGATGCTACTTCAGTTTATCGTTTGAAGAACAAGAAGGTGGCAGATTTATACAACTTATTAAAAGATATGCAGTGAGGAGATCTGTGGAAGGAACAAGGTGGCCTAACACAAGTGTGGGTATATTTTGTATCTGCTGGCTGAGTGTCTTAATTTTCTCCTGTGTGTTACTAGTGAGGATTTTAGTGTTTAGAGCAGCAGAGAAAAGTGGTGATATACCCATGGTTAAAAAAAATATACACGAGAGGTCTCAATGTAAACAAAGAAGGTCCTGAAATTTGTCATACGAATCCCTAGTGGAAATGTTAAAGAATGTGTTTCTCTCACTTAGAAGCTATAACATGGAGTGCCAGGCAGTGGCCTAATAGATTCTGATTTCCTCCGCAGGTTTAGTAGGAAGTGGATTGATCAGGAGAAACAGAGCAATGTGAGTACTCAAAAAGATGCCCAGATAAAAGCAGAAGAGGGTGCATTCATTAAAGGCAAGTTTCTCTCCACCCAGTGATGGTGTGACACTCATAGTGTTATTCTATTCTCAGATACCTGCATTTTCAGCGCTCCTGACTGGTGCTCCTGAGACAACTTATCATGCCTAGGGGCAACAAGAGCAAGGGCCGCTCCAGGGCCAAAAGGCAGCAGACTCGCGGAGAAAGCCAGAATCTCCAGGGTTCTCAGCCCACTGTGGAGGAGGAGAAAATGTCATCCTCCTCTCTTGTCCAGGGAGATACACTCAGTTCCCCTGGTGTAAGCACTCCTCAGGAGTCCCAGGAGGCCGCATCCTATGGCTCTCCTGAGTTAGATGTGCCCTGCTCAGTTCATGATGTAGGTGCTGAGGGTGCTGTTGCAGGTGCTGAGGGTTCTGATGTTGGTGTTGAAGGTTCTGTTGCAGGTGCTGAGGAGAAGAGTGCACAGGCCTCCAAGATAGCAGCCGCAATTCAATCTGCACGTAGAGATCCTCTGACCAGGAAGGCCAATGCTTTGATAGAGTTCATGATGGAGAAGTTTAAGGTGAAAGAGCCTTTCACACAGGCAGATATGCTGAGAGTAATCAACAAGAAGTACAAGGTGCACTTTACTGAGATCCTCAGGAGAATCTCTGTGCGCTTGGAGCTGGTTTTTGGCCTTGAGCTGAAGGAAGTTGATCCCAGTTCTCAATCCTATATGCTTGTAGGAAAACTGGGTCTCTCCACTGAGGGAAGTCTGAGTGGCAGTAGTGGGTTACCCAAGACAGGGCTCCTGATGACTCTCCTGGGTGTGATCTTCATGAAGGGGAACCGTGCCACTGAGGAAGAGGTCTGGGAATTTTTAAAGGTAGTGGGGATATATCCTGGGAGGAGTCATGTAATCTTTGGAGAGCCCCGGGAATTTATCACCAAAGATTTGGTGGAGGAAAATTATGTGGTATACCACCAAGTTCCTGGCAGTGACCCCCCAAGCTATGAGTTCCAGTGGGGTCCCAGAGCCTATGCTGAAACCACTAAGATGAAGGTCCTGGAAGTTATAGCTAAGATCAATAATACTTCTCCTAGTTTCTTCACTAGTATGTACGAGGAGGCTATGATTGATGAGGCTAATAGAGCAGCAAGAAGAGTTACAGCTGTGCCTGGCAATGTTGTAGATGCCAGGGATGTCAGGGCTCATCGCAGAGGCATGGCTCATAGCTCCTCTTCTAAGTAGTGGGATGTGTTATGAGCTAAAGATAATAAATGTGTAACTTATTCTGTAATACATGAGAAATTTTATATGCATTTTCCTTTGCTATTTTGCAAATGATCTTTTAATCAAGGATTACCTTGCTATATAATTTGTTTCTTAACATTGTGCTTACATACATATTGCTATTTTTCCATGTTTAAAATGAAGTTTTGGCTCTTTTCAAACAAACTGAGAAATCTTTAAAATGTTAATGTGGTATTGGAACAGTGATTTTTTTTTGGTAATATGGTATTGTTTGATGGTGGACCAAAAGTGATAAGACTAATTCAAAATAGTTGTATTTTACTCTTTCTTGTAATGCTAATTGAAATAAATTTAGATTTTAATACTCAAAATGGATTACAAAATAAATTGTAATGAACACCAAAAAAAAAAAAAAACCAAACAAACAAGCTAATTAAGAAATGGGACCTGGAACTAAATAAAATTCTCAAAACGAACTAATACTAATTAGCATTTAAAAATATTCAACATATCTCCCTGGGAAGGGGAAATAGAATAGATTTTGAGGGTGGACTAGGGGTGAATGGGGATGGGAACATGAGGGATCAGGTGAGGGTAAAGTGGAGGGAGAGAATATGGGAAAAGTATCTGGAATAGGGTTGGATTTCAGGGGCCATATAGAAACTTAATGCAGTGAAAATGGCAAGGAGTCCACATAGGTGACCCTTGCAGAAACTCTTAGTAATGGGATTATGGAGCCTGAACAGGCCATCTCCAGTGGAGGGATTGGGATACCAAACCAGCCATAAAACCTTCTACCTACAATTTGTCCTTCCTGCAAGATGTGCTGGGCTAAAAGTGGTACAGAAAATGTGTAGGTGGGCAACCAATGAATGTTCCTGCTTGAGACCCACGGCACAAGAGGGAGCCCACCACTGACACTGCCTGAAGAGCCAGGAACCAGAGGATGAGTAGCCCAGATACCTAGGTTAGAACCAAATATTCCAGGCCAAAAATATTTTAAAAAAGTAAATGAAATAATTCCTAATGATATTCTTCTACACTTGCAGATCAGACCCTAGCATAATCATCATCAAAGACGCTTCATCCAGAGAGTACTGGGAGCAGATGCAGAGGCCCACAGACAAACAATAGGTGAAGCACAGCGAATATTGCAGAGAGGGGGAGGAAGGATTGCAGGATCCAGAGGGGTCAAAGACACCATGAAAAAATACAAATAATAAGTTAAGTTAACCTGGGCTCATAAGGGCTCACAGAGACTAACCTGACAATTGGGGAGCCTGTATGAGACTGGCCTAGGATACATATTTTACCGTTGCATAGCTTGGTCTTCTTGTGGGACTCCAGTGAGAACATGGTCTGTCCCTGACTCTTTTGCCTGCTATTGGGACCCTTTTCCTCCTACTGGGTTACCTTTTCCAGCCTTGATATGAGAGTATGTGCCTAGTCTTATTGCAACATGATATGTCATTTCTCATTGACATCCCTGGGTGGCTGGGCCTTTTCAGAAGGTAAATGGAGGAGTGTATCTCAGTGAGAGGGGCAGAACTAGGAGGAGAAGAGAGAGGGAAGTCTGTGGGTGGGATTTCATACATGAGAGAAGAATAAAAAAATATTCAACATACTTAGCCATCAGGTGAATGCAAGTTAAAACAACTTTAAAATTTCATCAAACCTTTTTCAGAATGTCAAGTATTTTTTGTTAAACGCCTTTGGGGATACTGAAAAAGGAGGACACTTCCTCATTTTTGAAATGACTATGGAAATCAGTGTGACAATTCCATAAAACAAAAGCAAAAACTAAACAACAATAAATAACCTAGAAAGTGTTACCATATAATCCAACTATACCACACTTGGGCATATATTCAAAGAACTCTACATTTTACTACAAAGAGTACTTGCACATTCATGTTCATTCATGTTCATATCCAGACACTGGTAACAGCCCAGATGTCCAAAAATATAAATACAAAGTGTTTTTTAAAAAAATTAAAAATTAAAAATGATAAAAATTTTAATGAAAATTAAAATTATATATATAGTGGAATTTTATTCAACTATAAAAAAGAAAAATAAAATTATGAAACTTTTAGGTAAATAGGAGCTAGAAATAAGCATTCTGAGTGAGGTAGGCCAAACCCAGAATGACAAATACAACATTTTCTCTCACAGATTTGGATGATGCTAGCTTTGAATCTTAAACATGTTTGTTTAAATTGGAATGCCCATAGAAGTCAAGAAACTAGTAATGGACTATGTAGGAGATATCAATAGATGTGGATAGAACATAAATTGTATAAGTGGAAATGGAATAATGGAACAGGAAGGATAAGTGGTATGGAATTGGGAGGTCAGGATAGAGGAGTGTGGGAAAAACAAGTGTGGGCAGTGACTCAGGCCCCTCTAGCATCCTGCAGGCCAGCACTTCGGAGAAGGTGGCCTGTGGACCTCAGCAGCAGAGTCCTGGGGCCTTCCCAAGGGTTCCCACATATACAAGAAGTTCTAGGGTTCCAAAAGCTGGAAATTTGTTGGCAGTGGGTACAGAAGACATGTGGAAGAAGTTTATTGTCCATGCTGTGAAAGTTGTATCTGAATGTGCGTGTGCCCCCCGCCCCGCCCAAGAGCTTGGGGAGAGCTGGCTTATATAGAGGGTGAGAAGGAGGAGGGACCATGGAGGAATAATTTAATTATCTAGGACCCCCAGCCTTATTCATATGTAAATCTCTCGAGGCTGAGGCCTGTTAGTCACACCCTTTACCTGTGTCTTACCTGACTGATAGTACAGGTTAAATGGAGATGAGACCACGTGTCAGGGCCCTGGGTTCTGGGGGCGTAGCCAAACGCCTGCAGTCTCGGGGTTCCAGGCTCATGCCAACACAAGATGCTCTTCTACAGCCCAACAGAGGAGGGAGTGTGGAGAGGGATAACTAAAGACCCTAGAAAAAGCCATATGAAAATTTATTAGTATAGAAACTTCCTAAATATAGTTATATACATATATAGATATAGTTTACCCGAAGAAGTTTTCAGCAACAGAGACACAATGACTTTCCAAAACAGCAAATAAAAAGCCTAGTGCTATGTATGGGGTACCATGCCATTGGCCAGTGAGTTCATAGAGACCTTCCTAAACATGCCAGACCTCTGCCATTATTATTTTTCATTACCCTCCAGAACTTGATAGTAAGACTGTGAAGACACCACATCCTTAAGTTGTAGCACATGGAAAAATCAAACTGTCACTGACCTGGAAGCTTCAATTTTACTTGGTAGCTTTCAGAGAGCTGGAAGGTGTTATGCATGCTACTGGGGGACAAAAACATTAACAGTCTTCCCTGGCTGCAAGCCCTGCATGTTAAAATAATTATTGACCTGGCAAGATATGCCCACTGGATCAATAGTGGCACTAATGTTATGGGACTAATCCACCACTCTCTATTCATATTTAAGGCTCAATCCACAACACTGAACTTATCCCTGATGTCCTTAAGTGGATCATGAGATCTTGGATGGATAGGAGATAAGCTCCTGGGAAGAATTTATTACTATTATTTTCCTAAATAAGTATAGCACTAAACTGCCTCTCGAGGATTCATGTTTATTACCCATGAAAAAGTGTGTCTTTCAACACCCAACAGACAAGCTCATTTTGCAGATGATGGCATTTAACATGGAAACCTCAATTGGCCAATATGCAGAGAATAAGAATACAAGAATAAGAATAAGAGTTCTTGGTTTTAAATGAGACATCTATTACACATCCTTTCCCTTCACTGCTTAGGGATCATCATGGAAGAAGAACATAAAAAGATTGTAAAACCCAGTGAAAGTAGACATCTGCAGCAAAACAATATTTGCAGGACATGAAAGAGATATGGCACATATGAGTTGACTATAACTGGACCTGCATGTATACAATGTGTATGACATCAATTCATCTAAAATCCCAGAATGGATGGGAGAGGACCCCATGAAGTCCCAGACCTAGCTGAAAAGCATATGGCAATTAGTGGCTGCTAGAAGAAAAGAACCAGTTTATATTAGGTATATAGCCTCTAAAAGGCTACCCATGATCTAGTAGCTGACCCTATCTGTACACATGTAGATAGGTTGACTCTGTGAAGGAGGGGATGTGTGTGTGTGTGTTATGTATATATACATATGTGCATATATATGTTTATATGCACTTGTGTAGGTATATGTATGTGTATATAAGCATGCATGGATTCTTGCGAACTGTATGAATCAGGTGGTTGAGCCAAAGAAAAATGCGAATGTGTTAATGTATAAATGAGAATGTGAATGTAAATGTGGGTATGAATATCCAGGGTTTTGTGCATATTTGCTTGTGTAAAAGATTTTCTTTTCCTTTCCTTTGTCTCTTGTTTACATAGAGTTAACCAGCTTAGCCAGAGAGGCTTCTGGCTGCCTGGCCAGAGGAGGAAGAGATAGCAATAAATTCTTTACTTAGTACCCTACTGCTAGGCAACAGGTGCTAATCTCCCAAGCTAGTTGTTTTAACCGTAAAATATGGAAGAAATATTTTAGAATGTTTTTTAGAAGATATCAGCAAACATTCTAGTTAGAGAGCTAGAAGTGTAGAGATCATCAGTCTCTAATGCTACCTCTATGTCCAACACTTTGCCCCCACTTCAGCCAATTCCAGGCCTTGCTGTCTCCCAGCAGAAGAGCCCCTTTCTTTTTCTCATCTTGGTATACAAGATTTGTCATTTCAGCAACAAAAGAGTGAATGGTTCCCATGTCCTACCACCAGCTTATGAGTGAGGTAGTGCCTACAGGTAGCAGGATCATTTGTATTTTTTGGAGGTTTCTGAATATATCAGGGTGATTGGGAGAATCAGAATATGGTGCATCCCTTAAGATCTACCACAGAAAACACCAAATGTCATATTCCTTAAAGCTACAGTCAAATTTGTAGGCTGAAGGTCTATACATCCTCACAATATCTCTCATATAGTCATCCCTTGTTCTCT